TGCATCAATCATGAGCATTAGAGCATTGTGATACGGACATGTATGCCTACTGGCCATGTGAAAAAATAGCTTATGGGACAAATTCATAGATCAATGATAGATACATTCGATAGATACATATTTGAATGCAGAAGTCCCACATTCAACACCTTTGCAGATCTATGGCTCTGACCACTGACAGTGGCTGCTTGATGTAAGCCAGAAAAAGTTAAGAAAGTTTATGATCAATTGCTTTCTACAAAATCTGAACACACTTGGTAGCACTATCCTTGTTATATTCCCATGGACATAAGTTGTTTGAAAAGAGAAAGCACATACATATGGAAATTCCAGCATTTTTATAGCATTGTCTTCCTGTATCTAAAAGAATAATCATGGTTAATCTAAAACCTGGATACCAAGTGCCTAAAGATATAAAAATTAAAACTCAGGACATTATAAAGACTTCATTAATTTTTATTTTTCATATCCAGGCTTCTAGTTCAAGGAGCCAACAATAAAAAGTAAAACAAAAATATTGCAAATTAATTAAATTAATTAATTAATTATTAATTAATTAATATTGCAAAAAGCAATTAAAAATACTATTAAAAGTAGCTGAAATTGATCAAAGAAGGACTGGAAGAGATCTTGGAAAGCATTTCTTCCAACCTTCTCCCAGTGCAAGAATCAACTACTTTGGCATCCCTAACAGCCATCTAGCCTCTGTTTAAACACCTGCCCTGAAGGAGAGTTTACCACCTTCCAAGGTTGTCTGTTCCACTGTTGAAGACTTCTTACCATTAAAATATTTTTCCTGATGTCCAACCAAAATCTACTTCCTTATCATTTAAACTCTTTATTCTTGTCCTGACTTCTACAACAACTCTGAGCAATTCTGTCCCACCTCCTCCACAACAGCTCCCCAGTTCTTTGGGCTGATAAATGTGAAATCCAGATTTCTTTCTATCTTCTCAGGTGGCTCTATTCTGTTCTTCTAGTCTTCGGACCCTCTTCCTTTGCAATCCAGTTAAGTACCTTGACTTTTCCTTCTCTGCTCACGCCTTTTTAACTCTCTTGCTTTTTTTAGATCTCATATCTTCCCTTTCCTCAGGCTTCTGTTACCTAGGTCTCCTTCTTACTTTCCTGGGCCTTCACAAGCTTTTGCTCGTTTTCTCTTTAATTCTCTTCTTTTTAATCCAGATCTTTCCTAGACCATCTGATTTGGCTAATATCTTTCAAAATACTATTTAGCCACAATATATTTTAGTCTGAAATATTTTATCTTCCTAGAGTTTTTTCTCTCTTTCCATCTCTGATGAAGACCCTTATTAATTATTCCATTATTGTGGCCTAACCAAACATTTGAGCATGAAACTGAGCAAACTCAGGGAGGCAGTGAAGGACAGGAAGGCCTGGCGCAATATGGTTCATGGGGTCACGAAGAGTCGGACACGACTTAACGACTGAACAACAACAACAACAAAAACCAAACATTAACCATAGACATTCTACAATGGTACTTCATGTGGCTTGCTCATTTATTCAGCTGTCTTACCAACTACAACAAAGAACTGGAACTGTTGGTGGAATTTAATTGGCATTAATCTCCGGTTAGCAGCCTGAGAATGGGGAAACAGTAATTTCCCTTCCTCCAATGATGCAATATGCTCTGGAGATGGAAGATCCATCAAAACAGCATGAACAGCAGCCCGCATGTTGCAGATGAGGAAGAATAGCTGAAAATAATAAAATGGAAATCCCTGTTCCATAGATAGTGGACACCAGTGAAAAGCCACCTACAGTATACTGTGTGATATAAGAAGAAAAGTGATTGGGTGATGTCATAATAACCTTGAAGCCAACCAATCTCTCCTAGTTTCTTCCTAGCACCTGGAGGATTTTTTTTTCTGGTGTCATAAATCAGTTATATTTTTCCTTAGCTCTGAATTTTCCTGGAATAATTCTTTGCAAATGGGTCAATAAACAAAGCAGTTCTGAAAGTAATCATATGGTGTTTCATATATTCATATAAGTTAACTGCACATCATCAACACAAAGAGCCACTCCAGAGCTATCAGTGAGACTTACAGATAGAACACAGCGGTTCCAGAATGTATCTGTTTAGTGCCCAGGTGTATGATGGATGGTCACAGTCACATCCTACTTCACAATTACAAAAGTACTTATATGTGATCCTCATTTAATGACCACTGTTCAGCAACCATTCATACTTAACGATGGTCACAGCATGCTCGCGGTCATGTGATGGCCATTTGCGATCTTCTTTGCTAGCTTCATACAAGCAAAGTCAATGGGGAAGCTGGCAGGAGATCACAAATGGCGACCATGTGCCGTCGTGCTTAACGTCGAGGGATTCGCTTAACAGCAGCAACCGGAAGTGCCAGAATTTCCATCGCTAAGCGGCGTGGTCTCATGATGTGCTTTACAACCATGTTGCTTGGTGGTGGAAATTCTGGTCCCAATTCACCATTGTTAAGAGAGGACTACCTGTATAGACGTAAATTCTTTTGAAATGAATTTTTATAGATTGAGGCTAATTGACTGAAACTAGAATCTGCTAGGGTGTTAGGCTAATGCAAGCAGTTGAAGTTTATATATCTAGTGGGCACCAAGGTTGGGGGAAGACTAATATAAACAATTGTGGTGGCACAAAGGACAGGCCCATCTGCCTAAATGAAGTATCATGAGCCAAATCTATCCTGCAAAACAACTTTATCTGTCCTTAGATAGCTTTTCCAAATAGAATACAAGGCCATAATAATAAATATAGTGAAACAAATTATTTTCAAAAGTTCTGAGAGTACATTCACTTTTGTGGCACATCTCTTTTTGTACTTTGCTGCAGACATAGAGATATGGTTTCCATACATGCTGTTATTCTGCAATCTGATGAATATTTGTCAGATAAGAACTGTTGGCATTTCATTCTGCAGGTTTAATTTACTTCTCCAACTTAATGTTGGTCAGAAAAATACATTCTTCCTGTTCCAAAACCTCTATCTGGAGAATGGAGTATTCTCAAGAAAGCAGAAGTTGGCCACGGTGCTATAAATTATTTATCCTTGCTCTACTAGCACGACTTGATATCTTAGGTTGGGACAACTATATTAGAACTGTTTTTTTCTCAGCAACAACAAAATCCATCCATTTATTGAGAAAATTCTCTTTGTTCTCAGAATAAAAACATGCAGTATTTTAGAAGAAAGACACCAATAAATAATGTTTTTCAGATTAGTATTTCATATCCCCAATCTTAAATGCAAATACTGGTAAAATCCTACACCGAACTAGAGAGAGGGTTAGGAAGGCATTGTAAGATTGTAGGAAGAGGGGGGACTGCCACAGACCTCTCCAAGAGCCCACTTAGATTGTGGGAGTTCTGGTGAGCATTGGGGGGGGGGAGTCTAACAGCATTCATAGGAGCTGAAGCAAAGGGAAGTTTGTTTTACACTGGAGGGTTACAAATGAATCTAAGCTAGGCAACCCCTGACCTCATGCACAGGAATTTGAATTGTGCATCAGGCTGTGGGTCTGATCTAGGAATCAACCAGGTTAAATGGCTGCTAGCCTTATGATAATTTTACAGAATTCAGTAGAATCTACTTCTAGAAAATATGCCAAGAATAAAGACACATTTACATCACCATTCCCTAAAGTGTTTTGCCATTCTTCTGTGTACTCATGTACATTTTCTATCTTAATAATGGTCAGTCCCTGGATGTAATTATCAATCTTATTTCATGTTTATAGAGCCTGGGATTTGCCTCAAAGAAATGTTGCTCAGAAGTAGGTGTTGACTTAGTGGAACCACTGTCAAAAGTTGTAAATTACTTATGAAAACCTGCTAACTAAATCCAGGGGGGACCAGGCAGCCCTTTTGTCTATATTTAACCTCATAGTTCTCAGAATGTCAGCTGCTCTCAGTGATCAGAAATTTCTTTCAGCTAGTTTAGCCATGCCTAGATATGAAACTGTCCGTAAGAACTCTGGTCTACTTGCAGATGTGTACTCAAGTAGGTGGAAACACATCTGGGGGAGCGAGTTTAAAGATGCTGCAGAGTAACTTAAGAGACACAGGGAAAGGGTTAACTACGTACTACAATTGGTTGCTTTGGAAACATACTGGTATTTTATAGCTGGCTAGTTTTCCAGATTTGGCCATCAGCTCTTTAAAACGTATATAGTCAAAAAGTTCTCTGGCTGGTATCAGCTAGGTGCTAGAGAAATGGCAACCACCATTGGTGTTGCTTTAAAGAAGGCAGTGATTTGTCACATTGATTTGTTATCAGTACCTGCAGGGAGAAATGATTATTTGGTGGGGGGTCCTGCCATGCTTAAAAATGCATTGGATTCAGCTAGAACTCCCTCGGTGTGTATAAGCTGAGAGGGGGCTGTATTAGAGCCCCACTGTGGGAAGGAGTTGTGTGTTCATCCCCTCGCTGGCTATTTCAGCCACAGGAGGGAGCATGCCCAGCACATACCCTCTGAACAGAGGGTGAAAGAGATGGGTTGATAATGGTAATTTCTATGAACTGCTGTGTAAAAGAGGAGACAAGAATTACAGCTGCACTTTCTTATCTTTGCTTTTATAGGTTAATGCAGCAAGAACAGGAATGGGGAAAAAGTGTGTGATTCCAGTGACTTGTCCACTGTCAGCTGCATTAACTTCTGGAATTCCATCATCCCAGCCAGTGCCTATGCCAGGTACTCTCCTAACTGGCCCAGTCAAACCTTATGTGATGCCTCTTTGTCAGTATGGAGGAATTCTCCCTACGACTCTCTTTGGAGTGCCGTGGTCGAGTCCAACCACCCAGCCGGGGATGGCAGGAGGCCAGAGCATTGCACAGTTTCCAGCTCTTGGTCCCAATAGCTTCCAGTTGTTTCCAGTGCCCCTGCAGAGGCCCTAATTTGGGGATGACCTCAGTAGCTGACTTCCAAATTGCAACCGTCCAGTGTTTAGCTCCTAGGCAATCTGTTTCTCCCTGCTGGCCCCATTCAGGCTCACTAGGTCATTAGCTGTGCCCCCATCAGGCAGGCCCTGTGGAATGCTTCCCCACCAATCTGTTTGCTCTTCTGACAATGCTTCCTTCCCCTTCATTGCCGAAGACGGTTGATTTTCTTCTCTGGTGTTTGAAACGGCCACGTTCAACACTAATGTACTTGAATGGATGGGTAGGAGAACTGTATCAATCTTACAGGAGTATAGTGCCTTGAATTCAAGCTTTTCAGTTCAAGCTGGAAAGGTGTAAAATAATCATCACAATAACTGAAAGGTGTACTTTATTTGCAATTTGCTTGGGAAAGGTTAATTTTTTATTTGCAAAAATATGAAGATATAAATTTAATAGTGACAGTTTACATTTGAAACTCTTGACCAGTTTCATTTTATTTTCTCCTGCTAAATGCTTTTACTTTAACCAGCAGTTAAATGGAAAGTTTGGTAATTTAAATCTTTACACCCTACCTGACTGGGGGCTGAGGCTTCTTCCTTTGAATGAAGCATAGTGAAATGGATCGCTTTGTTTTTACCAAAGGAGCCTGAATGTAAGTTGTATCTCTGTGTTCAAGGAAAAGCTTTGTTATGTGGTCTTTCTGGAAAAGCTGTTGCAAGTGACAACTCTCTTTTTCTTTCAAACAGCGAATTTGGCAGGCAGATGTCCTTCCCCCTCTGATATTCAACTGTAACCTTTTTTGCCATCTTCTGAACAAACTATATAATTCAGTTAAATTACAAACCTTGCATGTTTCATGTGTGAAATACGCTTAATCATAATTCTTGACAATAGGACAGCAGCCCAAAGTTATTGTAAGACCTTTGTAAGTATGGAAGTCCCCTTGCATGTTATCTGCCTGTCCTCCAAATGCTTCAAGTATTCTCAGTGAAATGGAGTTGGCTTTGGACGTGAGCTTTCTTCCTTCCTACATCTGCTTTATGTTACTGTATGTAGAATTTGCATCTTCACCTGTCAGTCTAAAGGCACACAACAGCCACTAAGATTTATTTGCAGATGGGTAAGCCTTTGTTCCCTTGATGGAAAAGGAGCAAGGCATTCCATCTACAAATGTAATGGCTCCCTTAAAAGAATTATAGCACTAGAACTGAAGGCACACTGCTTGCACTTTGCCGTTCTCAATATGGCAGTGGTATTTTTAAACTGCCTGCTGAAGGGGTGGAGCTGTTTTGCGCTGCCCATCTGTTCTTTGTATACGTCTACTGTACTCTGAGCATTCAAGAACTGTCTGTGATATTTTGTTGGTACCATTGAATATGATGCCGTCAATTCTGTTAGAATTGAATTTTGTAGAACCTGACGCAGTCTTCTGCCTGGGGAGAATACATACTATAGTAAGAGATTTCTATTCTCTGTAACATGTATCTTTATGTTGTTTGAGACTTTCTTTTAGATTCATGTATGTATGCTTTATGAGCAGAAACACTGAAAATGTCTTCTCACCGTTCCCCCCTTTGCTTGCACTGAAACCTCCCCTTTGTCACTACTGCCTGTTGTACAGCCTGTTTCAGCCCCTTGTATATGATGGTCAGTGGTATAACCTCTCACTACCAAGAGAATGTATATATTCAAGAAAAGGAAAAAATAAACATTTTTGTGCTTGAAAAAATTGTGTTGCTAAAAGTTTCAGCTATTAAAGGGCAATTCCACAGCTCAAGTCCATTCCCTATCATCAGGTACAGATACATTTTTAAAGCAATACATGCAGTCAAATGATAGGTAAGATACCTGCAATTGGAACTGAAATATTTCATGCGCTTGCTTACAGTGGCACCTTAGGCATCAAGGTGAGTAGAATTTTAGAAGATGGAATCAACAGATAGGTTACACATACAGACAATATTTTTGTTCATTGATTATAATCATATTTGATGTAATAGGGCTTGATCATGATTCACTTGTTTTGTTACCAATATTGCCTTCTCTCTGTAACTGCAAGATATTCCAATTTTAGACAGAAAATAGCTATGGAAAGATGTTTATTATTTGGCAAAAAACAGCAATAAAACAATTTTAAAATATGATCCCTTATACTTTGATTATCTATGTAGGACAAGAGAAAAAAGATGGGATGGGGGTTGAATCAAACATAGGAGTTATGCCATATAAGGATATCAGAAAGACCACCAGTCATGTGAGCTCATCATAACACATTTTGCATAAATTCAATTCAGTCAATATAATCTTTTAAATCTGTTGAGTATACCTTGAATAGAGGCAGATGCCACCATTAAACCTGAAGTCTTTTGTGTACCAAGAAGGTTCTCCATTACTGAGTTATAGGCCTCCATCCCTAAAAGTCCTAACCTCTCAGCAGTAAATGTTGGGGAAAAGCCTAATTTAGGAGTAGAGCATTTGTGTGTCTGTTTATTTGCATTTTAGAAAACCCACCCACCGTTATATAAGGGTAGAGTAAATTTTAAGATGCAGTATCTGAGATATTGCTTCACAAAATAAAATTTGACTACATGCAAACCGCTGGATTTCCCCCATTTCTTTACTAGCTTAAGGAAAACTTCCCAAGGGCAGGCAGAACAGAGAGATCTTGCCACATTTCAGAAAGCAACGGGCTCTGGAAAGGTTCCAAAGGGAGAGTGTTCCCATGACAGGGAGGAAGGGTGCTGCCCAAGAAGGCTTCTGACATCCCTTTGCTGTAGGCACAGGCATGATCCCCTTAAGAGGATGTCCTTGGCAGATCTCACATTTTTGCCACATCATACTGAAAGTCTAAAAATATAATGCACATTTCAGTTAGTTCTTTCGGCAGTTGCACTTAGAGCAGCAGGCAACTCTTCTGAAATACACAAATGTATCACATTTGCCGTACATACTGCTGTATTGTAATTTTATTTGGGGACTGGAAGGAAACTTAACTTTCCACTTGAGCAGGAGTGGCAGCAAGATAATAAAGTTAAAATAACACAAATATATAGCAAACAATTATGGGGGGAGGGGGTGAATACCTCAATTCTCTTCGTAGAGTTATATGTTCTACCTTTCAATTTGATAGTAAGGAAATGGCATTACTTGGGCATATGTGAACTGCAGAGCTGCTTGACTGGATTGTAATCACTGCATCAAAAAGATCCAATTAGTACTAGGAGGCATCCAATTCATGTTCAAGATGCTTTCATTGGCTTTTGAAAGGGATGCTGAAACTCTGCCTGAGACAGGCCTTGCAAATGTAGCCAGCTTTCTGTTCTATTCTGCAAATAAGGAGCTGGCTCGCAGGATGCATTGGTTACAGTAGTCTGAAATGCATGGACAGCCTGTTTTTCCCCAGCTCAGCCTTGTTATGATCAGCCTTTCACATAGGCTTAGCATGTGGGTATAGTCAGCAAGTTATCCTTAAAATCATGGCCAGGAATAGGGAGGAAGCATTCTCATATTACCTGGAAAATAAAAGAAGTCAGAGGTGCACAGATGAACTCAAAGCAATTAATCATTTTGCTAAAAAAAAGGTTTCTGAATTAGATGTAACCTTTAAAGCATCACGAAGGGCCCTGGGACCTAAGGTAGTCATAAGCAACATCAGAAATATGGGGTTCCTGCTTTGATATGTGGATTTGGGGAAAATCATGTTGGCAGTCTCATTAACCTTAAGCATCACAGAAGTGTTGATATTAAAGAAAGTTGCCAACAAATATGTCTTGCTTTGTGCACCCCAGGAGTTTTGTCAGCCATTTCTTTTCTTCAGATCCATCTCAAACTGAATTCATCTTCAGTGAGATGACTTGTACCCATTCTCTTTCCATCACCAATGAACGAAGAAGCTCTCAGACTACAAGGTCCACCAAACAGCATATTTCACTCTTGATATCCCAGCCTACAATCTTTTTGCATATTGAAATAGAAAAGAAACTAGCAGAAAACCTGCAATGTATCATAAAAAGGATCAGGAAGTTGCTGTTTGGCATGTTGAAAATTGAACCAGTCTATTCAGTTTCAGTGTCTCTGAATGAATTTCAGTGAAATGCTGCACAAAGTACTGGTAGATATGATGTAGGTCAGCTAAATGTCAGATTGATATAAAAATATTTGCAATTACGTTATCACTTCACTTGGGATTAAAAATATGATAATACCTGAAAATTAATACCATAAGTAGAAGTAACTGAAAATTCCTTGGTGTGTCCATGTCTGATTCTGTATCTGTATCACACTCTCACTTCCTCTTTCATTATACACCCAAATTTCTACTGAAGGTATGTAAGAATTTCTACTGCATTTCATTAACCCTTTTGAAAGTAGTTGCACTGATGTAGATGAGACAAATCCAAAGTATTCACAAGATAGGATGGGCATAGAACAGGAATCTTGTTACATGAGATCAAGAGTCTTTCTAGTCCAACATACATTTTTGAAAAGCAAGAAATAAGGCAAGAATGTTTCCATTCTGGTCCCAGTATTTGGCATTCAGATATACTGCCTCTAAATGTGAAGTTTCTACACATCTGTAGTGAAAAATACCTAGAACAGTAGGCTAGCTTCATCTCAACTGTTAAATATCTGTCAAATATCTTCATCGTCATCATCATCATTTGGAACTGATCATGAAATTAATTTCTAAATTGTCCAGTTTGACTGCTACATTCTAGAAATGTTGTCTTCAACATACAGTCAGGTCCAGAAATATTGGGACATATCTATCCCTATCGACACAATTCTAACATCTTT